CTTAAAACTTTTATATTTTATTTCTTAATATATTTATATTTATCTAAATAATTGAGATTTCTAATATCCTTAGCAGTAATTTCAATTAAAAATAGAGTTTATAAAATTTATTTTTCCAAATGATTTATTTTTAACTTGAATTTTAAATTTTAAAATAATTACAAACATCTTTAAATTTTATTTTATTTTCTTATGTTTAGTTTTAATTTAAGAGTAACTTTTAATTTAAAAAACAGCGATACCTAACATACTTTTAAACATGTGATAGTTTAAGTTGTCAAACAATTACTAAGTAGAAATTTATAATAAATATTTTAAATTTTATTAAAAAAACTGACACCCTGATGAGTTTGTTTAATATTTAGAATTGGATCCCAAATTAACATCCTTTTATTTTTTATTTGTTATTATCACTGGTAAATATTTTATATTATGGGGCTAAAATTAAATTTAGTTATATTTTAAAATACAAATTCAAAATATAATAAATATAAATTAAAAGAGTACTTTTTTTAAATGTGTGTAATAAAATATAAAGCTCTAAATTAAAAATGATATATTTATTTCATTCTGGTGTGACGTGGGATCATATCATTGGAGCCTTTTTTTATGCTTTTGCTGGGCGTCTCAAGAAAACTACAATCTAGAGGTGTTCATCAATCGATCCAAACCGATTCAAACCGCGGTGACCGAACTGAAAAATCGAAAACTGAAAAATCGAAAACCGAAAAAAAACCGTAACTTTTAATTGGATTGGATTGGTTTTCGGATTGCTTAATGAAACCCGATCCAATCTAAACCGATCCAATATATTAATTCCCCTCTACTTACTGGAGTCTTTCTCCAATCATAATCCATAAATTTCTAAACCCATTAACCCATCAACTAAACCCAAGAAAAAACATAGTCACATCTCATCAACAAAATTTCATCTGCGTAGAGCTTCATATCTCATTCCCCCCCCCAAAAAAACTATATTACCGCTTAGTGATGCTTTTGTATTTTAATTTTTTTTTACAAAGCCAATATATATATAAAGGGAAAACATTTTCTCATGTCGTAGGAGAATTGTTTTCTCCTACTAGTGACCCTTCGATTTTCATGCAATATTTTCTTTTGCTTTTTTATTTTTTTAATAGATGTGGGCCCATATAAGATGTATCTACAACATAAAAAAAATTTCTCCTGCCGCATAAGAAAATCGAAACCCATATATAAAAGATGTTATCTGCATGAAACAAATTTTAGAATTTTCAAAAAATCGAAAATCGATCTATTCCAAACTGAAAAAAATTGGATTGGATCGGATCGGATTTAAAAAAAGTCCAAACTGAATGGATGATTACATGGTCAAACCGAAGAGATTGGATCAGATGATTTTTGCTTCTAAAACTGATCCAATCCAGACCGCGAACACCCCTACTACAATCAATAGACTTTTTCTAATCCTTCTTTCCCAAAAAGAAGAACTTGAAATTCTTTTTCTTTTTGCATGGATTGGGAGATTGAATTTTAAGTCGATATATTAAGGGTTTAATATATTTTTTTTAAAGGATATAAGCTTATGTTATTTTACCCCTTATAATTATATATGTACTTCTAAGAATATAGTTATAGGGAAAAGTGTCTATACTTTTAAGTTACACAACTTACATCCTTTCACTCTCACAAAGAGGTGGGACTCACAACTTTATTTTTTTTTGTCGACTCTCTCTCCTCCTTTATCTATCTTTTTCTCTCTCTTAAAATGACACAATTTTACATCCTTCAAAATTATACACACTTTTCCCATAGTTATAATATGAAAATTATTTTTTTTTATCTCTTCACATAAGCTGATAAGTTTTTTAAAAAAAATTGAAGAGAAAAAAATCTTTAATATTATAATTACATATTTATCGAAATATATAATTATAGGAAGTAAAAAGATCTAAGTTATTCTTTAAAAGCACAAATAAATTTCCCTCAAATTAAACCCTTAAATCATGGTGAAAAGTAAGACATTGAAAAAGCTGACGGTGAGTTGCATATTAATAGGGGTAAAAATGTTAAATGAATCGGGGAACTTCCTTTTTTCTACATAGAGTTGTCAATTTTTTAATTTGTCTAAACATATAAATTTACATGAAAAATGGAACAAAAGTAAGTTAAGAGGCTCTGTTTTTGTTGAGCGGTCCCTTACATCTTATTTCATTTCAGTTTATTTATATTCTCTTATTTTTAAGCTAGAAGCTACTTATAAGCTAAAGCTAAAAAAAAGAGCTTAAAAAAAGAAGCTAAAAGCTGTTTAGAAATTACATGAAAATTTTAGCTTAAAATTTACTTAAAAGCACATATTTCAAGAAAATTATCTCTCTCTCTATCTTTATCACTCTTCATTTAAAATAAAGCACACAATTCAAGAAAAACAGATAAGAGCTTAAAAAAAAGCTCCTCCTAGGAGCTTTTAATTTTCAGCATTTTTCTTCATTATAGAAAAAAGAGCTTTTCATTATAAGAGCTTTTTCCAAAACCTGTTTGGCCTAGCTTATGCTTATAAGTAGCTTCTAGCTTAAAAAAGAGAGGATCCAAACAGGCACTAAATATATAGAAAAATTTATTCTCATAGTACATGAGATTAATTTTTTCTCCTATATATCCTTCAATAATTGTGTAGGTTTTATTTTTTATTTTATTTATTAGGTGATGGACCTCATTATGTCTCTATAATATAATATTTCTTTTCTCATGTTACAAAATAAATAAGCCTTAAATATATATGAAATTTCCCAAAATATACGAAGAAATAAATAAACATACAAGTAAAATTTATGGAGAGAAAATATTTCTTTTACCTTCTAAAGTTTAAAGTTTATACAAATTCCAATAATGATTGCCAGGTTCCGCCCACATTAATTGACCTTGCACGGGGCATGCTTTCCATAAACAAAATTTATATTTTTTGAAAAAAAATCTTATACAAATGATCATATTTCAAAACATATTCAATATTATTATCGTTTATGAGCATGTTTGGAGCACCTGATAAGAAGATAAGACATGACATATTCTATTTTTATCTCTTGTTTGGTGGGTCAATAGGATATGATTAGTTTATCTTATTGTCTTATTTTATCCTATCCAATACATGATTTCTTATCCTATGGAGGAGCTGGGTTAGAATTTAACAAGATAAGTACCAACATTGGATACCCAATATATCCTCACGCTATCCAATATATTTGTATTTATTGCATTATATTTTATTTTTTCCTTCTCCATTCTCCTTCTACATAATATTATCATATTGCTAATCAGGTGCTCATCAAACCATTGCTGTTAAAATCTCGATTTATCACTACGATTTTACGTTTTTACGATTTTTTATCATCAAAACGATTTTACTAATATTCCAAACGCTTTCACATTTTTAAGATTTTTTATGATTTTTTTACGTTACGATTTTACGTTTTACGAATTTTTAATCCCCTTTCAATTTTACTTAAGATCTCGATTGTAATAACATTGCATCAAACACAGGACATGATATGGGCTTATCAAGCCCTTATCATATCCTACCCTTATCCTATCCTGTCCACAAAACGAGCCCTATGGATTTAACTTTTCAGCAGTTAATGCAGAAAAATTTGTCTATGATTTTAATAAGGTTTTATAAGAGTTATGTTGTAGGAAAAACGATTGTGTAATGTTATAGAGATTCGTTTTGCGTGCCGTAATTTTTTCTTTTTCTTTTTCTTTAAAAAGTGTGGGCCCCATAAAATATTGTGTGTGTAGAAAAGTTTGTTGTGTCATGTAAAATGACAAATGCAAATCCCTTTTAATAAAAAAGGAGTGGGTCTCTTATAATATAATTTGTGTCAAAAAATTTATTTATATACTTCGGAGAATATAATATGTGTGGCAAATAAATTTTTTGCAGCAACCGTAAAAATATTTTTCCTTTAATGTAAAGTAATATTTTATGTAATCTAGCGTCCAAAATTTCTGTTAAATATTATATTTGAACAAAATAATATTTGAAGAGTAATTATATAAATGATTGTTTCTCTCAATGTTATTAAACTCGGATAGATAATTGATTTGATTGAGATATTAAATCAATGAGTCACTGGTTCAACTGATATGAATTGCTTAAATTAATTTATGTAAAGATATATAATAAATATATAAATAAAAGTAATATCACAATCAAAATAATTTGATTTAATGGTTAGCATTTGATTTCCTTTGCATTAGGTGACTACTTCTTAATCAACTTGCATACAAGACCGATTAATTGATTAAACCAGACTAATAAATAATCCAATTTTTGGTTCAACCGATCTGAATGAGCAAGGGAAATATATTCTCTCATGTGAAAAAGAAAACATAACTGGATCATCTAGAAAGATCACAATCATACAAAAGTAAATTAATGGTTATAATTTTATAATTATTTATTTCAATATTTTTTCTCTTTTTTTTATTACCATCGATCCATCTTTATATGATTATGATTTCTCACATGATCATGTCATTTTTTTTTAACATAAAAGAATCCAAATCCATGATTAAGTTGGGTGGGTTTTAATGACACTAATTTTCTAACATGATATTCTTCTCAACTATCCAAAACTTTTTTAATTTTTTAGTGAATATAAATATTTTCTCTCCATAAAAAATGGGTAAACTTCTTTTCCCTTTTCCCTTTTCCCTTTTTCTTTTTCCTTTTTTTAAAAAAAGCACATGGTACCAAAGAGACTCCCCGATGTTACAGTTTTCTTTGGCCTACATGCCCTCCATCGTGGAAGCATCGCGATCCTCCTTATCTTCCCCCCTTACATAATACGTCCAACAAATATAAAAAATCGCTTACAGAGTAGTAAATAAAGTACATTATCAATAATAATTCCGTAATTAACTAACTAATTAGTTCAAACAAAGAACACTACAGCTAGGCTAGGCACCTTCCTTTCCAATTTGCTTTGACAACAACAACAAAAAAAACAAAAACAAAAACAGAGAGAGAAACAAACAAACAAACACACATACAGAGCAAAGCAAAGCAAACCAACCCAGAATAGCAATGGAGTCCAAGTGGAAGATGAAGAAGCAACCAAGGAGGCTGGAGCGTCTCAACGCCAAGAAGAACATCGATTACGAACCCCCAGGCTGTTCTTCCTTGGACTTGGAGCTCCAAACTAGCCTCAGGGTCACTGGCATCGACGGTGAATTCGACCGTATATGTCAAAGTTTGGGGCTTTCTGGACCCCAAGACTTTGAAATCCCAACCGCAGATTGGGAAGCTCGAAAGGCTCGCTTTTGTGATAACAGGGCAAAGGAGGAACGAGTTTCAGCTAAATTGGCAACTGGGGTTGTGTCTAATTGTGATGCTGAGCTGAAAAATGATACCTTTGATGTGGAAGACTTGAGGGTTGAGGTTTTGGGTTGTGATAATGGAGATGGGGTTGGTGGAGGAGGGATCAAAGGTGTTAGGCCTCCTATTTTGACTCCACCCCCAGTGATTTTGAAGCCAATTGTTGATGGGGTGAGTTCTACTTGGGATCTCATGAGGTCTTTTGCACCCCAAGATGTTGGTGTTGTTGATTCTCCTTCATCTTCTGGTGAACATGATGGTAGGGGAATTGTTGGTCGACTGAGACTTGGGGAAAGGAGTGTTCTTTTTTCTGATTCTAGTTCGTGCACTACTTCCCATGATGATGATAGTGATGTTGGTGGTGAAAGGGGTTGTTCTTTGTCTTGTTCTGGTTCTGGCGGCGTTCATGAGTTGGTTCATTATGTCTCGTCAAATGAGTGGTTTAGACGAACTTTCTCTTCGTGGCAAAAGGGTGATGTTTTGGGAAAGGGGTCCTTTGGAACGGTTTATGAAGGCTTTACGGAGTTAGTGTTTCTTTTATTTTTCAATTCACTCTTTGGTTGGTTATTTCTTTAATGAAGTAGGTATATACGTGCATATTTGTACCCTTGTTCTAATACTTGACCAGGTTAAGCATTAGATATTTGTACCCTGATTTCCTGATTTTCTTTACACTTATAGACATGATTTAAGTAGTTGGTGTTTGTATGTGATTTACTTCCATATTCAGATTGTAGCATTCAATTTCCACAGAATGTGTATTGGTTAGATTATAGTATCTTATAATTAATGCAACAGAAGCCCAAACACACTTAACACACATCTATCTAGTATGACCACTGGTTATATATACCTTATGCAAAAATCAAGTGCTAAGGGAAAGTCTGGTGTGCTTAATTGCTTATGAGAGGTGCTTATTCTTTAGGCTAAATAAAAATGCTTTTCTCTGTGAAACTATTATATTGTCCAAGGCATGTACTTAGGTTGACAGCTTCAACACTTGCTCTATAAGAATATGGATTAGGGAGTTTCTCCTTATTAAGCGTTTGTGACTTACAAGGATATTGTTGTAAATATTAGTTATTTATTATTTTTTGTTGTATTGGGCCAAGCCCATTAGGTCAAGAATTAGGTCTTTTATTCTCTATAAATAGAGACCTCTTTGTATCAAATTATTCACACAATTCAATAATATATTTGAATACCCTTTTTCAAGTTGGTATCAGAGCCTCGCCGCCCCCCACTTTCTCTTGTGGAGTTTCTTAGCACAGGTAGGCTGAGCCTGTTGCATTGTCCACGCTTCAAGCCCAAAGGGCTCTAGTGTGAGGGGACGTGTTGAGATATATAGTCACACATTGGTTGTATGTGCAACTAATGTGGAGTTTATAAGGCCTTGGACACTCCTACCCTTTGAGCTAGCTTTTGGGGTGGTGTATCCCAAGGTTCTTTATATTTGAATACCCTTTTTCAAGTGATATTGTATCAACTATACAGTAATTAATTACTAAAAGACATCTTTGGTTCAGCCTAGCTATCCCTTGACACTCTTATAATCAGTTGGCCCTTTAAAGAGTTATAACTTGATATAGATTAGTCTGCTAGTGAGGCTTCTGGTTTATCTCATTATTTTTGTGGCTGAGAGCAGGAAATTATCTGTTAAATGTGATTTTTTATAGTTGGCATAAGAGATATTGGTGCTAAAATTAAGACAGAGGAGACCATATGGAATATATCATAGGAGTTAAAGATATTGGGAAGTTGGTTTATGAGGTCCATGGAATCTGCCAGCTGATGTCTAAGGGTCCGTTTGGATGGTTATTTTTTCACCCAAAAGCTGTTTTTTAAAGGGAAAAAAGCACTTCTACAATAAAGCCTGTTTGGATGTCTATTTTTTTTAAAAAAAAGAAGTCATAAAAAAAGCCAAAAACATGCTTTTTTTGGAAGCTAAAAATTTTAGGGTTTAGGGTTTAGCTTCTAAAAAAGCAGAAGTCAAATATTTTTTTCCCAAAAGTAAATATTTTTTTTAGAATTTAAATGGCCTTAGCTTTTATAAAAAGCACTTCTAAAATAAGCAACACATAAAAGCAGCTTTTTTATAAGCCCATCCAAACGGGCCCTGTATGGGCCATTAGTAGGCTTTGATTTACAACTGTTATTTGTAGCAGCTATGGTAGTGAAAGTCTTCTGGATCCATAGAACATAAGAGTCCAATTATTTTGATATCAACCTCGTTTCTAACAGGCCATTTGGACATCCATTTTTCTTGCTTTATAATTTGCTTTTTTTTTTTTTTTTTTTTTTTTTTTGTATAAGCTTTATAATTTGCTTTGTTTTGACAGATGTAACATATACATTCTTTTTTTCTTGTAGGGCCGGATTCTTTTTTGCGGTAAAGGAGGTGTCTTTACTGGATGAAGGTAGCCATGGAAAACAGAGCATTTTACAACTTCAGCAGGTGAGAGGACTTAGTCTTCTCATTAAAGCTTGTGATTTGTTCACTCCATCTTATATGGCAGTATTTATGTATAATATTTGTGGGCTCTCTTCCAGGAAATATCTCTTTTGAGTCAGTTTGAACATGAGAACATAGTTCAATATTATGGCTCAGACAAGGTATGATGTTCTCTAGTTAGCAAGCCTCTTTTGTTCTGCCAGTTTATGATATTCTAGGAAGAATAATTGCATTTTTAGGACCCAGGCAATTAAAATAAGCATTCATAAAAAAACCATACTGGACTGGCCAGTTTGACCAAAGAGGAAAGAACTGGTCCAAAACCAGTTTGAACTTTTTCTTTTTTTAAATAAAATTCAACCAAAAACATTTTTGGAGCCAAATGAAGGCCCAATGTCAAAGTTACAAAGATACGCGTGTAAGCAAGGCATGATATGGCCTGCCTCCTTAGCTTTTATATATGTTGTAAGCTTGGATGTTCCACTCACTTATGAGACTTGCAAGTACAGCCTCCTCTTAGCTTTTATATATGCTGTGTCTGAATGTTTCACTCATTGTCCAATGTGAAACTTTGAAGCACTAAGCAATATAATAGTTATCCTTTCTTTGCTTTACTCCATGTGATATTTGCTGCATGATTATTAGTTAGTCTCTTATTATTGGTTTAATCTTGCAGGACATATAATACAATCTAATTTATTACTTAATATATTATATAATATTAAAAAATACATATCTAATTATCACCAATAGACTGTGAAGCAATGCATTATCAGTTCAATGACCGGTCCGGTCTTAGAACATTTAAAATAAGTATTTTGTAAATTTTTAAAGCATTTACTTGGCTGAAAATGACTTTGTTCATTGAGCATCTTGGAAATTGTGGCAATCCTTATGATATATTGTATTTTATTTACAGTGATGTATAATATGGGAGGAGGAAATGATATATCTTTATGTTATGTTAAGGAGGGAATGGGATACAATGGGGCTATTGGAAGGAGATAAGTGCATCATACATTGAGTCATTTAGATGATAAAATTAAAAAGAAAAATAAACTATTCTTTTGGGATCCTACAACAATATAGGAAATTCATCAACCAATCTCCTACTGCTATCAAAAAGTTGGATCAAATATTTTCTGCTAGTTCATGTAAATGATAAATTCATTTGTTCATGCATATAACATCCTTAATGTTGTTTGAGCTGTCTGCATCTAAGTTTTGATCTACAAATACACTTTAAGGTTGCCTCATCTTCTCTCCTTTTGGGTCTCAAGTCTTTCTTTTTCTTACTCTTACATTCTTTGCAAGTTTTCAACTCAGCCTTAATTTGTTCCTTTCTTTTCAAACTGAGTGTTCATTGGGCTTTATGAATTCCTTTAAATGATGATTGACTGACTATTTAATGCCTGATTACATTCTATGCCCTGTTTTCTAGAATGTGCTTATTAATTAGTACATGAGTGGTTGTTTAACTATCAGTTCTGTAAATTATCCTAGGGTAAATTTTCATTTTAGTCCTCAAATAATAATTTTTTGACATGTAAATAGTAAAGTTACTGTTCATTAGAACCAAATTGATGTCATGCAATGACCAAAATTCATTTGAGGGCCAATTTGATGTCACTAATATTTTGAAGACCAATTTGATGTTCCAAAACTTTTTCGAGCTCCAAATGGGGGATTTAATCAATTATTGTTTTGCCTGGTTCTGTTTACTTAACAGCTTGACTGTCTTGTGTTCTTATCTATATTTTGTATTTCCCAGGACAAAAGTACACTATTTATCTTCCTTCAGCTTGTGTCGAAAGGGTCGTTGGCAAGTCTCTATCAAAAGTATCGTTTAAACGATTCTCAAGTTTCTGCATACACGAGGCAGATTTTATGTGGCTTGAAGTATCTTCATGATCGTAAAGTGGTACACAGGTAATATCAGTGAATTTTCTTTCATGATGCTATGAAATGACTTTGCCTATAGTAACAGCAATCATTGGGAGAGTTCCATGAGGAAGTTAGCTGGTTCAGTTAATGATGTTACTGTGATTTGTGGTAAAGGGTCAAGGGATTTTTATTTCTTTCTTAATGTTATAGGGTGATAAGAACTGGCTCAAGAATGCAAGAAAACTAAGAAACAACTGGAATTTTATTGATATAACTTCTCCCTTAAGATCAAGAATGAATCTTGTAGGTACAAGAGATAAAAAATTTCAAAGATTATTCTCTGTTCCTCCAGAGAATGCTAATTCCCTGGCCCTCTCAACTTTCTAACTGACTAAAGCATCCTCAGCCTCTGTCCTTCACTCCCTTTTACTCTTACATATTCTTTACAGCTATTTACTGCTTATTTAATACTGTTGGAATATTCTCCAACTGACTAACTGTTATTATTAATTGGGTAACTAACCGCTATTATTAACTGGGGTTTCTTAACATAGGGAAACATATTATAGAATAAAAAAAAAAACTCCCCGTTAAACCCGACTAGCGAGTGTGGGGTGAAGGTAATCCTTGTACGCAGCCTTACCTTTGGATAATTGCAAAGAGGCTGTTTCCTGGATTCGAACTCATGACCTTTCAGTCATGAAAGAACAGCTTTACTACTGCTCCGGTTCGCCCCCTTAAACATATTATAGAATATTCTGGATAATAAAGGGGTTCTTCACAACTGCCATCTGTGAGAATGCGTGTGTGCATCGCACTAGAATTTTATACTGGGTAGGAATTGGATGACAATGGATATTTTATGAGGTGTCTAACTATGACATTTAGAAATCTAGCTACTGTACTTTCTTTGGAGATAATTAAGTGTAGCGCGTTTCATGATCAAGTTTCAAAATATATTCAAGTGTGGAGTTTATGGCCTTGCACTTTCATTTTAATATGTAAAAACAACAACAAAAGCTTTTTCCTTCTAACCTACAACTAATTGACCTTCTTTTTAGTTTTATTATTATTTTATTTTAGCATTTGGCTTGATAGGATGTTTAACAGTTTTCTTTTATGAGAATTTGAGAAGTCATGTCGGACTAGTTAATTATTGAGATTGCAGATTTAAAAAGAATATAAAAAAAATCATAGGGATTTTCAACTCTTTTCTTTGGGTTCCATATTGAAGGTAACAACTGATATATTATGCATATTTCATTTCTGCTTGCTGTAGATTTTTCATGGATGGATTGAATTTGATATTTCTTGTTGTAGACCTGTTTCATCAAGGATCTAGGTTCCATTTTAGGACTGAGAATAAAGGAATATTTCTTAACCGAAGTCCTGGAAATTTCTTTAACAAGTCTGTAATCTAGCTATGAGTTCTCAATAGTTATAGTATTGCAGTTCTTATATAGAGGGTATGTTACAACTTCATTTGCACAGATAAGCATATCAAATTGTTTAGAAACCAGATGCAGAATATGATTCACAGCCAGGGAAGATGACTTTGTTTTAACAAATTTTATTTGGATAGTGAAAAATGCTTTACTTTGAATCATTGTAAACGATGAAAGTTGGATGCAGTTCTTGGAAATCAGTTTCTAAAATATCTTGAATTACATTGATTTGCTACATTCTAAATTTTTTTTATCCAAATATTCAATTTTAAAGGGATATCAAGTGTGCTAATATACTGGTTGATGTAAACGGGTTAGTGAAGCTTGCAGATTTTGGGTTGGCAAAGGTAACCTTCTCCAATGAAACTGAATTTTGAATTATTATTTTTTCACGTCTTATCAATTCACAGTCCAAATGTTGGCTACTTTAAATTATATAGTTTATATTTTTATTCTTTTACCTTCTTCTCAGGCAACAAAATTGAATGATGTTAAGTCAAGCAAAGGCTCCCCATACTGGATGGCTCCTGAGGTTTGCCTCTGCTCTTGTATCATTTGTTTGTGGAATAATTCCTTCAAAGGGATGAACTAGAATGAGACGATATGGCTGTCTAATTCAGTTGTTAGTCTGTATAGATACTAGCAAACCCGGACACCCCTTTTTTTAAAAACATGCGTGTCAGACATCGACACGTTCCGACACGCGGTCAACATTTTGGGACATGTGATCAACTCTCAGACATGTTTTTCCGACACGCAGTCAACTTTTTCTGACACGTGGTCAACACTTCGACACGCTCCGACACATTTTTTTTTTATTTTTTTATTAACCAAAAATAAAAAAAATCATTTATAAATCAATTTTTTTCTGTTATGAAATTTGACATGAAAAATTAACTAGATACGAAAAATTATTTTGTTTATATTTATGTTATGAAATTTGAATATTTGATTGGTTATATGATTTATTATGGATTGATATATGTATCAAATATAAATTATATTATATATATTAAAAATATTATTTAATATCAAAACGTGTCCTAACATGTCGAAATATGCCATTTTTTAGAATTAACGTGTCGGCGTGTCGTGTCGTGTCCCGTGTCAGTGTCGGTGCATCATAGTATACATATATCAAATGTCCCTGTAAGAACATGAAGTTAAACTACCAATAAATTAGTCTACTGCAGTATTTGCTTCCATTGATTTTCTTGTGCCAGAGTGCAGATCTGTAGTTTTTCCACCCATTTGTATTTTACTGGAAATGTCTTAATAAACTGGCAAATGAATTTTTATACTAATGAGCATTTTAATGTGACTGGTTTAACTTTGAATGGTTCGGTAATAGGTTGTTAACTTAAGGAACCAAGGTTACGGGCTAGCAGCTGATATATGGAGCTTAGGATGTACAGTTTTAGAGATGTTGACAAGGCAGCCTCCTTACTCTGATTTGGAAGGGGTATGAAACACTTATTATATCATCTTTTTATCTTTAGTTAATTTCCTATTTTTCCTTGATAAATATAAGTATATATTTTTCTGTCACGACAGATGCAAGCATTGTTTCAGATTGGCCGCGGTGAAACTCCACCTATTCCTGAATCTTTATCTAAAGATGCCCGAGATTTCATTCTTACATGCTTACAAGTTAACCCAAATAAACGGCCAACTGCAGCTCAGCTATTGGATCATCCATTTCTAAGGAGACCATTTCCACCTCCCTTAAGTCCTGCTTCTCCACATGTTAATATCTTTCGGTTTTAAGAGACCTCAACTACCTCTTATGTTTGCACTGAGAAGTTCAAATTCATCCTCTATTTTCTAAAGTCTATCCATACACATGTTGGGTTTAGACTGGTGGAATATCAAGGACATGGTTAGCCGGTTTGCAGATATGTACTGGAGTTGGACCTCACAATTCTCAGCTGGCTTGTTTATCTCAATCACCTCATATATCAGCCCATCATGTTGATACCATGGTGAAGGTAGGTTCATTGAAAGGGGTGATTGCATTATCAAGAGCTCCACAAAGATAAATTTTCACTTTTATGATAAGGGAATAAAGTTTCTCGTACAAGATGGAGATAACTTTATCTCCTGTATTCGCGTAAAAGTGGGTGGGGCCCTGTGAGGAGAGGAAAGAGAAAGAGAAAAAGTTGGTCCCACCCACTTTCATGTAAATGCAGGAGATAAATTATCTCCATCTTACAGGAAAAACATTATTCCCTTATGCTAAATGAGAAGAAGCAATGCCACTTTATCCCACGGAGTGGATCTTCTTATCTGTGGAGTGAGGAAGTGGAGAATTTAGGAGGAGATGGCCCTTTTGCTCTCTACTCTGTAGGGAAGTGTGCACACGCCAAGAGATTGCTGTGGCCATAAAGTTGGCCATTTGGTGCCGGAGTTATCGGATCTTTTGATAACATTGCTTCTACTGTGGCTTTCTCATGTTCTATTTTTAAAGCAATGTGGTTATTGCATTATTTGGCTTTACACTCACTCAGTCCTATCAGGAGCTCATGTTCATGCAGTTGTTCTTGCATGGAAATTCTCTAGTCACAAGTATGGCTAGCTGGTTGCTGATACTTACTTGGTCACAGTTAGAGGGGCTGCTCCAAGCACTATTTACTGTATGATTTTTTTGTACTACCTATGGCTATTAGAGCAACAATGGACGTTTAAAGCTTTGAATGTTTTTTTGGTTCAATTAAATTGTATGAATTGCAGCACTTCTTTTTTCATTTTTAGGAAACTACAGTATTTTATCTATTTCTGATTTTTGTAAAATGAGATGCTTGTATCTTTTGAACACAAAAATATAAAAATAAAAAATGTTGTTAACTCAAGCAAGTGTAAACCTTCTGCTGAACTTTACTTTGATGACTCATTTGTTGTAGGGGGTGAAGCTGTAGTGTATGGATTTAATAGCTAAAAGGTGGGAAGCTTTGTCAATATTGGCGATATATGCACGTATTTCAAACTTCTGCAGTTAATAACTCACTATTTGCTACTCTTCAGTCTCAACTAACAATCTGAATAGATTCTGATTGAAAAATCCAAGATACTAGCTCTTTTGTTTGAGTCTTTGTTGAGTTGATGTCAAAATTCAGAGCGTGTAAAGTCACAAACTCACAATAGCTTTTAGTTGCTCAAACTAGCTCAAGGGTGGTAGAAAAAGACAAAAACAAGCTACACGACAATTTTAACAATCTATTTGTGACATTATGTGAAATTTAGATTTGGTAACATTTTGGCCACAAAAAAGGACTCTACAAAATATTTATTGGGTTTATAGTTTGTCATGAAATTATGTTATTTTAAATGAGAAAAATATACAAGTAATGAAAATCATAAAAGAGAAAGTGAATATTTTTTTTTTAAATTTAAATTTTAAATAAAAAAATAAAGTTGTGTCTTTTTCTCTCTTAAAATAATATCATTATATATCTTTTAAAAAGATAAATATTTTTTTTTTCATATTTAATTGATACTACATGTGTGGAAACAAATCTAAAAACTAAAAAAATAATAGTAAGGTTTTCTTAAATAATAGTTAGGCCCCGTTTCATTTTCAATTTTAAAAAGTTTTAAATTTGTATTGGGATTTAATTATGCAATATATCATGGTTTTTGTTTTGAAAACTTTTCCTAAGTATGACACCAAAAAAACTTTCCTTGGTGAATGGGAAAGGACAGGTTGCACGCGCTTGATGACTCCATGTAACACCACGATGGCAACACTGTTGAGATTTCGAGACGTGCTTGCTTTTCATTTTTATGGTATTGAATCATTGATTGATATCAAAATTTGCCAACTAAAGTTGCTCAATTTATACGTAAAAAAAAAACAGCTGTTGAATTTAAGGTTCTATACACAAATTTGTGAACAAACAACCCTCGTGGAAGTTAGGCCAATCTTATAATACTTTACATATTATATTATATAAATACACAACTTTTTTTTTTTATAATCAATACACAACTCTTTTATTATTGAAATTTTATCTCTATGAATATATTAATTTTTTTTTTTATAATTTTATTATCATAATTTTCCTTCAAAATGGAAATTACTATACCAATGTTATTATATTATTACTTAAAAGGGAAAAATATTTATCATTCTAAAGATGGTCATTTTAATTAAAATTATATTTTTTATTTAAAACTTAGATTAAAAAAACCGCTCACTTTCTTCCAGTGTTAAAAAACCTGGATCGGCTCGGCCAGATCGATCTGAGAATCGATTATATAATTGGTTTGCGTGAAGTAACAAATCAGCCAAGCACTGGAATTAGTGCAAACCGATGAAACCCGGTCGATTTTGGTGAAAATCGTTGACCCGACATGGTTCATAAAAGAAAAACTTATTTGTTCTCATTAACTGATACCTTTCTTTTTTTCATTCTCTCATACAAATGGTTTGTTTTCTTTTGAAATATGTAAGTGATATGTTATTTATTGACTTATATATAAGTTATGTACCTATAACACTAATATTATCTTGATTATGCAATATGTAAGAAATTTTGATTTGATTTATAGCTAAAGATGTTGTCTACTGAACAAGCACAGTATCGCAAACATTATATATTTGATTGATTTTTTATTGGACAATAATGTGTAATTTTTTATTTTGAAATATTTGGAATTAGTATCATTTTTTGTAGTATTTGAGTATATTTATAATTTTTTAATATAAATTATAGATTTACATATACATCATGCAGATAAATCAGTGACCCAATATTTCAACCGGATCAATAATCGGGCCAGATTTAACAATATTATTTTCTTCCCATAATTTTTATTATATATCTCTTTCTCTTATTAAAAGGACACAATTATATATCTTAGCGGGTGTTTGATAGGAGTAAATATTTGGTGAACCCAGCTCACATGAGCCGAGCAGAGAGAAAGAAGAAGAGAGAGGAAAGAGAAAGGAAGAAAGAGGAGAGAGAGAGGGACCACCAAATTAATTTTGGTTTGGCAGGAGGTGAAAATTTTTTTTTCTAAGAAAATAGGGTTGGAAAAATTATTTGTCTATGTTTAGTAAGAGGTGAAGTAAAGTATGACCGATAAAAAAAATTTCGTGTCATTCTCTTCTTTATGTAAAATGGTCGAGGAAGATTACTGTTGAAGAGTGAAATTGTTTTTTTTTTCATGTGGTGGAAAAATTAACACACAACATCAATAAAATTAACTCAACTTATCTAGGAAAAAAAAAATTCTCATCATATTCCTGAAAATTATTTTTTCCCTATAAAAAATTTTCTTTTCTACCAAATGTTCCATAAAAGAACATAGACCCTTGTTATCAAAAAAAAAAAAAAAAAACATAGACCCTTAATTTAATTTTATTAATCAATTTTCGTAATTGCCTTTTTTTTTCGTTTTCAAATAAAGGAATTGATAAAGAGTACGATCGAATATGCTTGATGCTTCTGGGAAATGGTAGGGTGGTTTTGGTTATGGGAAGCGGAGAGGAGCACGTGAACCCGCTTTTCGTGGCACGTCATCATGTTCAGGGTCAGTTACTCCAGAGCGTAGCATTCACTCGCTTAAGGAGAGCGTGGTGATGGGCATCTTGGTGCTCTCTCTTTCTCTCTCCTGTGTGTGACACAGTAATTGGGTAGCGCACGGTGTAGCGTAGAAATGACTCGAACTCAGCGATTCTCAACTTTCTCTCTCTAATGAGAGAGAAACTCTTCTCCCTTTCGATTCCATCGCCTTTGCTTTCGATCCTTTGCTAGATAGATAGAGAACCTTATTCCTTTCTCTCTCTCTCTCTCTCACACACACACTTTTGTTTCTCTCTTCAAATTCGCTTCGTTTTCTTCCATTTTCACCTTTTCTCAATTTCGTTGAAGCCGTCTGGTACGACCATTATTTCTCCTCCTTCTCTTTCAATTCGCATCTTGCATTTCAATTTTCGCTTCTTTTTTTCTTCAATTTTTTCGATTCGTATATCTAACATAATAACAGTCTTAAATTTTGCTAACCCATTGTTATTTGTTTTTTAAAACGAAAATCGAGGAAACAGAAACACGCTTTGTTGCTCGAAGTTAATTTTTCTCCTCTTTTCCTACATTTTCTGGGTCTCCAAACAGATGGGCATTTTTCTTTTGTCAACTTTTTTTTTTCTGGTTAATTTTTTTTTTTTTGGTATTAAAAAGAGAATGCTTTTTTTTTTTTTATTAAAAAAATATATGTTAGGTTGTTGATTGGATCTAAGATGGATTGCTTAAAGTTCAGCAACATGTGCTTCTTATGTTAGCTCCATGTTCCGGTTATTATTATAATGTTAACTTTGTTAGTTGTCTTTGCTTGCTGTTGTTGCTCTTGCATCACACCATGTTGTTTCTTTTTTGCCGACTTATATGCATCTCTTACTCTGTTTTCTTTCTTGCTGTTCAATTTATTTATTAGCAGATGCACTTTGGTCTCTCAAACTAATTTGTTGGATTCATTACTCCAATTGCTAGCTGGTGAGTGTTTTTTTTTTTTTTTATCCTCTTTATGGTTTGATGCATCAAATACTTTGTTTTTAGCTATCCTGAAAGTGAGGTTTCTTTGTTGGCAGAATAGGGCTATTTCCAGCAATTGCCTTTTTTTTTTCTTTCTAATAAGTGTTTGCATTGCATTCATTTCGTGCTGAGATTGATTTTGGAAAATAAGTTAGTAATATTGTTTCTTTAAGTTCAATCACAAGCAATATAAATGTTATGTTTTTATGAAGTTTACCTTATTGTTGTGTTGGTTTAATTCTCAACTAGTTTCTTCCTTTTTTCCCTCTCATTTGGAATCTGTACTATTTTCTTTCGTGAGATTGTTAGAAGTTCGGTACTTATTTTTGTAGCAAGAGAAGTTTTACTTAAATGATTTTTGTACCATGATTATGTCAACTGTGGATTAGAGCCAACTATATGGTTATATGTTTATTTGCTATTGGCACAAGACCACAAGGCATATTTTAGACAGCTAAAATATGTAAGAGTAATTGATAAAACACTTTTATCTGTGTTATTATCTTGGCAGTCATAAACTGTGATGTCATGCTTACATGTGGGGCATGCGTGAACATCTCTGAGCTGATTTTATAAGTCTAATAATATTGCCAGAATAGGCAATAAAATAGGGTTTACTATAATATTGCATGATTCCATCTATGTTTTAGTGTGATTAGACATAAAAATGCATTCTCCCTGGCTTCTTCTGAGAGGATGACATCAATGAGTTCTCATTCTCTATTTGCTTTTTGCTTATTCTCTCGCCTATCTAATGAGTTCTTCTCTTATCCCAAATAAATAATAAATTTTCCTTCATGTAATACAGGTAGCTACAATTATACTATTAATTTATAGGTTCATGTTGATGTTTTTGCCATGGCAAAAGAAAATTATTTTGATGTAATTTGCTGTCAAGAATTGAGGTCTCATGTGTTAGTTCATGAGTAAATTTGGCCTGCAGTCATCAGAGGTTCACAAATTGTCTTCTACCTTTTAGGCATCAATTGTGAGAAGATACTTGGGAAAGTTTTAGCCGTAGTATTGGTTAAGGCACAATATCTCTTACTTGACCAGACAATTGTGTTCATCTCTAGCTGCCTTGCATGCATCTGTCACCATTATGTTATGGGCTGGTCGTCCATTTAATGGTTTTTTTTGTTTGGCAAGCAAAGATGCACGTGTAATGTGATGACGGGAAGCATTGACCCAGAAGGACAAAATTTGTTTTTCCTTTCTGTAATGGGGAGTCTGAGTCTCATCTGTATACTCTTCTCTTCCCCTGTGAGTATGAAGAACTGGACAATTTAAACATTGGGTTTTAGAGAGGGCCATGTTAGTTTCAACTTTGCATCTGTGAATGTTAGAACATTGATGTTTCTTTAGCCATCTACTTCATTTTGTGGTATGACCAATGTGAGATGCATCCAGATATTGTATTCGGTATGAATGGTTTATGTCACCTTTGGCAATTATGATGATGATGATGTGACCATTATATGTGTGTGTGTGTATTATCTGCACTTTTTTGAAATAGCTGGACATTAAAGATGGATTAGTGGAGGGGAAGGAAGGATGGATCTTAGGTAGGTATATATAGATAGATAGACAGCCATATATACAAGTACCTATGTTTCTATACACCATTTCTTTCTTCATTGCTTAATAACTGAGTAAACTTGACATTTCAGCTACTATTTTGGAAGTGCTTGATGAGTGGTTCAAAGAGCTTGGGTAAAACATAGCACCTTGCTGCATGACCTAGCATACTTAAATGAGACGAAACAAGTTGAAACCCAAGGGAGAAAATCACCGGTTTAGATTCTCTGATAGGACTTCTTGGTGATTCTTTACAATTAGGTTTCTATTTATATCATTACATCAACAACATCTTTATCCCAAACTTTCTATAGATATCATAATGAATGGTTTCCTTGTGGAGTTCTGAGATTTCTTCCTAAAATTGATAAATATGTTGTGTTTTTTTCCCTAAGTATATAGTGCTAGGCACTGATTAAATTGGTTTGTCAGTAGAAATAAGAGTGTGCCTTGGTGTAATGTGCTTATGAAGTAAAATTGGTTATATGAATTTTGGAAAATCGATCTGTGAGGGTCAGATTGCTTTGATGAAGGAATTGAATTTTCGAGAGAAAACTAAGAGACATCCATTGTAGTGAGGGAACTAATTTAATTTGTTGGCATCTTAGGAGGATAGGTTATCCCTCCTAATTTTTACTGTCTTTTGTCATATATATATATATATATATATATATATATATATATATTTGAAGATAACCTACTGCATGTTGCAAAGGATTGGGGTTCACTGCATAAAATTGAATATATTTTTGTAGAATGAGTGGGAAAATGATGTTTATCCGTTTATTTTTCTTTTGCTTTTGTGGGGAACTTGAACACCCATTGTTCCTGCACATTCTCTTGTTTCTTTTCTGAAGGATAAATTTGGACTGGCCGTCATTTATGAAGGATAAATTCTATCTACACCTTATTTCTGATCACACTCAAGCAGTGTTAGATTTTTTCTATTTACACAGCATTTGCGAATATTTTTATGTAATGAATAAAGCTTTTACATCTATGTATGTTGAATAATTCATAAATCCAGTGACTGCTTTCTCTCAGTTAGCCTGAAAAATAGATGAACAACCTATTCTCTAGATCCCTAAAATCGTAGTATCCTTTTAACATTTTTGCTGTTTAAATTTCAGGTTCTGTTGAACATTTGGAAATGGCAAAAGGAAGCAGGGGACGACTCAGAATTGCTTCTCGTAAGTACAAACTGACTCCATACCCACTGTCTCCATGCAAAAGGGATATTTGTGAGGATATGTGCCAAAAGAAATGCTCTAAAGCCTTGGATAAGAAAGAGTGGGAAGATGTAACGTGTTCTGTGTGCATGGAATATCCACACAATGCTGTTCTTCTCCTTTGTTCTTCTCATGACAAGGGTTGCCGTCCCTATATGTGTGGAACTAGCTTTCGCCATTCCAACTGCCTTGATCAGTACATGAAAGCTTATACCAAAATTATTTCATCATATAATGGACAGGCCATGCAAGGCTCGATGAGTAATCCAGGTTTGCTGCAAGATTCAAACACTCTTGAGAAGAGTGAAGTCTCAGAGCTCGCATGTCCCCTATGCAGGGGTCAGGTGAAAGGTTGGACTGTTGTGGAACCTGTGCGGGACTATCTGAATGCAAAGAAAAGAAGCTGCATGCAGGATAACTGCTCCTTTGTTGGGAACTATAAGGAGTTGAAGAAGCATGTGCGGGCAGAGCATCCCTTGGCAAGTCCGCACACGGTAGATCCTGCTCATGAACAGAAATGGAGATGGCTTGAGTGGGAGCGTGAACGGGAAGATGTTATCAGCACAGTAACATCAACCATGCCTGGGGCAGTGGTTTTTGGAGATTATGTTATAGAAGGACACCATAATAATGACTTTCATACAGATGAAGAGGAGGGTGCCCTTGATGCAGATAATGCAGAAAGGAATGGAAGATTTCAGATGGGTTTAGAGGCCATGAATTTCTTCCTCCTGTTGCATGCAGTTCGTCAGGGAAATGACCTCCACAACCTTAGTAGACGACTGAGGCCTGAGTTAGTAGCCGGGCAGGATGGAGCTGGAGAGCTGGATATCTCAGATGAAGACAATGATAGTGGCAGGTTGAATGAAGGTAATGATGATGGTGTCTCTCTGGTTAGCCGCCTCCGCCGCCATGGTGGTGGCAGAGTTCTATTGGGTCGTTCTAGTAGGAGGCGAAGGCGGCGACAAGCACACGCAAGGATCGGAGATAGTTGAAGATCGTGGTTGCAGCAGGAGGTTGGAAAAGGACAAGTTTCGTAGGTGTATGTTACTCTAGAAAATTCAGCACCATATAATGGTGACTTAATAACAGTTGAAGGGTTTTTCTTTCCCGGAAACAGGAAAATCCAAGGATGGGCATTTTCATTCTTCTATCTTGTAATTTCTTTTACATGTACATTCCTACCTTCCTCCTATTACCTTTGCACATTCCAATGTTTAATTTACTCATGTAAACATTTAATTTTTAAGAAACCTTTGGCGAGAGGTTGATTGCCATGTAAAGATCCCAGGATTGAACAGTTGCTAACTGGCCGTTTATGCAAATATATAAACTAGAATTCTGGGTGGCAAACCGCGTGCATGTTACTAGAAGACCAAGACCATCACTATTGGTGGCTCTTTCAAACTCCAAAAATTGCAGGGAAAGTCTCATACACTAAATTCTAGAAGTTTCAAATTGTCCGCAGAAAGCCTCCCAGGAACAACTCAGAGAAAAAACGCATTTGTATATTTAGATTCGGAAGAAAGGCTAGGTGACCAAGCGGCAACAACGATAATCAGTTAGGATGACTGGTTTGTCAAGTAAATTTCAAAGGGGTTTTAGTTTGTCATTTAATATCACAAGAAAAACTTTTTCACACACACACCATTTTGTGGGGTTCATATTTTTTAAAGCAAAAAAAATAAAAATTAAGGCATGCAAAACGAATCTCTATAACATTAAATAATCATTTTTTCTATAACATAACTTTTATAGAACCCAATTTCAAAACATTAAAAGCCACACGAACGCTGAAAAAACAAAAACTTGTTCAAAATATCATCTTAGCTTTCTTCATTATCCATTTTTAAGGCAAGGAAAGGGGATGGGAACGAAGTTGGCAGAGCAATGTTAACACCTGCTCTGGTCAACTTAGAACTGAACAATGGTATTCTATTTATTATATTTCAACTTTTTCCAAAGAGCAAGGAACTTCTTGTATAACCCAGATGATTCAGCTGCCCGGTCATATTTATGCTTCCACTTTTTTTTTTGGAGAACTAACAAAATGGAATCTTCTGATCTAATGGCTGAAATAATAATACCCTTCCAAAGTCACTTGTTTCTTATTTTGGTGAACCCTGCCTTGCATCTGTATTGTTAATAATTATCATTTGCTATGCAGAAAAAGATAGATTTTTGTGTGTGTGGATAAGTTACAGATATCTTTCATGGAAGACAATTCTGTTCGGGATGAATTTAGGATTAAGGCTGTAAATCTCTCCCAAAGATGATAATAAGGAGGATCACACACATACTCTCATCCTCACCTGCTCAGTTCCGATGCGGCAACCGTCATTTAGTAAAAAAAAGACAGATTTTGAGACTAGGAGAATTCATAGATTCATTTTTCTAGAGGGGTAAATAACGCAGTTTATCCAGAGATAGAAGATGTAGTGGCATTTGTGAACCGGTTGGATGACGAACTTTGCTTCCTTGTGAGTTGTTTTTTTTCTTATGGTTGGTTTATATTGAACTATGTGGTATAAAAAATCAAGGTATAAACTTTGCTATTTCTGGCAAGAGTAAATAGTACCAAACTATCCATCAAAGAATTTTATGTAGCTGTAATTGGTCAAGTGATCTATTAGAGATTTTTTTTGGTTAAAATTACTTTTATTCGAATCAAAAAGTAAGAAGCAAGTGGGGGGTAAGAGCATGTATTTGATTATCTCTAGTACTATGTCATGGATCCGTCCCAAACTCCGGATTAGTCTATAGTGAACCTATGAGATTACCGGGGAGATAATCTCCAAAAAGAAATAAAAATAACAGAAGAATAAGAAGAAAAAGAAGTAAGAAGCAAGAATGTGGGGGTGATAAGTAAGAACTATTTTTGTCTCGTAATACCATTTATGGTTGTGTACATTCTAAGGTGGATGAGATTTCGGAACCTAAGCATTTTGTTGGCCAGAGAAGAAAGCTGACACATTAAGAGAAGCAGCATTCGGGTATCAACATTTGAAAACTTTTGATTCTGAAGTTTCCTCCTACAAGGAAAATCCCGGGATACCTTGTGATATATCTATTGCTGTAAAGAAAATGGTTGCATTACCAGAAAAGCAAGCAACTCAAGCACTACGAGGTTCCCTTATAGATGTGCCATTAGAATTCTGACAGCATAAAAATATTGGATTGTGCTTACTGAAAGATTTCTTAAATAAGTAGGCATGTTACTTATTGATGTGGTGGACCATTAATTAAGGTTTGGCTGGCCTATGTTAACTCTCATCCATCTGGCAATATTGTTGTAATATATTCTATGCTACTTCTAGAATCTTGAAAACCACAATGCTTTGTCTTTTGTTTTTGGCATAACCATAATGCTGTATCAGATAATGCTTCTTTACAACACTTTATCCACCAATTTAGATTCACATGACGTTTGATTCAACAACTATGTTATTTGCAGATAAATCTAGGCTCAGTTATATTAACAAAAGAAAATATCTGTAAAGGGTAGCTATGGAACTTCAATCAATGGCAGCATTAGAAAAAGATCCTGCTATAGATTACATGCTTTACCAAGGAGATTTGCGTTGAAAATCCATCAGGTTTTTCAGGTAATATCCTTTTCAAGTTGCGTCTCCAATGTGAAAGTGAAATTCTTGATGGGGACAAAAGATTTTCTAGAATCATTTTCAATTTTTTTTTTTTTAAATCAAAATGCATAATAATAAAAATTAAACATGTGAACCTATCGAACTGAGTGATTCTCTATCATGTGGTGTTATGTAATCTTTATTCTATTTCTTAATGCAGTTTGAAGAGCTTCACAATCTTGCCTTTCTACTTAACAAAACATAAGAGGAATAATTCACCCAAAATAAATAAACAAACAAACAAAAGAGGGGTTGAATGGTGATGGTTTCAGCTTACTATCTCTCTAAGCTGTATACAAACATTCTTTATTAGCGATCTAGATTAGCTATCTCTCTAAGCTGTTTCTTCTTGTTCGATGAATGTTCTTTGGAATGGTTCTACAACTCAGGAGTTTTTCCCATCCAGGGGGCTTAGACAGGGTGACCCTTTGTCCCCATATTTATTTATTCTTTGTATGGAGCGACTTGGTCATCTCATTTCCCATGCAGTTAGGCAAAAGTGCTTGAAGCCGATCATGTTGAGGAGAAATGCTCCTCCCATTTCTCACCTCTTTTTTGCGGATGATCTTATTCTTTGTGCGGATGCATCCTTTGATCAGGCCCAAACCATTTCCAAGGTGCTAGATGATTTTTGTCTTTCTTCTGGGCAAAAGGTTAACCATGAAAAAACAAAAATTCTCTTCTCCCACAATGTGAATCATATTTTGGCAGAGGAACTTAGTGGTGAGTTGGGCTTCTCAAGGACGGTGGATCTTGGAAAGTATTTGGGTATTCCTCTTCATCATCGCAGAGTTGGGAGGGCGGCTTTCAGTCATATCCTCGATCGAGTTTAATCTAGGATTAATGCCTGGAACCACACCAGTCTTTCTCTAGCAGGAAGAATTACACTTTCGAAAGCTGTTCTCTCAGCTATTCCAGCCTACACAATGCAAGTTTCTGTTGTTCCTCTCGGAATCTGCAATGATATTGAGAAACATATTAGGAGGTTTTTGTGAGGTTCTAATAGAGCATCTACTCGTCCTCATCTGGTTGCGTGGGATCAGTTGTGCATGGATAAAGATCCTGGAGGGCTGGGTCTGAGGAAAATGAAGGAAGTTAACAGGGCTTTTATTATGAAAATTGGTTATGGGATCCTTTCTAATCCGGACGCGCTTTGGGCTAGAGTTTTAAAGAGCAAGTATAAAGTTCAGTCTGATTTGGTTCCTAATATTTCTGCTACTCGGAATAGCTCCTCTCTTTGAAAAGCAATTGTTTCGTCTTGGCCTGTGATATTACAGCATTCCAGAATTTTGCTAGGTAATGGAAATTCTACTCATTTTTGGGATGACCCGTGGGTTCCGGGTTGTGGTGCACTCTCATCCTATGCTGCTATTTCTGATCCCTCTCAGATAAATCATCAGCTAATGGTCTCTGATCTTGTCTCATCCTCCGGAAGTTGGATGTGGGGGGCTTTCCAGCATAGTCTTCCCGATCACGTCAATGCTCGTATTAATAACATCCTTCCTCCTTCGGATGTTAATGGTCATGACCGAATTTTGTGGACAAGGACATCTGATGGGAGTTTTTCGCTGAAGTCCGCTTATATGGCCATATCCAGGGGTAACGAGGAATCTACCAATTTACCTTGGAATCGCGTTTGGCAGTGGCATGGACCTGAACGGATTCGTACGTTCCTTTGGCTGTTGTTAGGAGATAAAATTTTGACAAATGAAAGGCGTTGCAGACGGCACATGGCGGGTTCAGATATATGTCATCTGTGCAATTGTTTTACGGAAACTTCCTTACATGCGGTTAGAGATTGTATTGCAGCAAAAAAAGTGTGGGAGATTGCAGTTAAGCGAGAGGCTTGGGAGGATTTTTTCTCTCTTAATCTTCAGCAATGGGTGTTGTCCAATATCTCTGAGGATCGTAATTGGTCCAATTTGCCATCATGGCCTCTTCTGTTTGGTATCATTTCCTGTTTCATTTGGCAAGCTAGGAATAAGAAAATTTTTCAGGGATCTTCTGTTCCTGCTTATGGCACTTTTAGAGCTGCTATGGTCTATGGTGAAGATTTTTCTTGGTCAGAAAACACGCTTCGGGTTGCTGGTCTTGAGACTAACTCGAATAAAGAGAAATTAGTTTCTTGGGTTTTTCCTTCGGACCCTTGGGTTAAGCTCAATGTGGATGGGTCAAGTATGAATAATGGAGGAGCTTCTGCTTGTGGGGGTGTATTTAGGAATGCTAGTGGAAGGTGGCTTGTTGGCTTTTGTAAAAATCTTGGCTGTGGTAATGTTTTGTTAGCAGAACTTTGGGGTTGTCTCCTTGGGCTTGAGATTGCATGGAGGAAAGGTTTCCGTTTTGTCTGGCTTGAAGGTGATTCCTTAGTAGCCCAGTTTTTCATAAGAGAAGGGTGCAGCTCTCATCATCCAGCCTCTAACTTGGTCTTGCGCATAAGGAATATGCTGGATTGGAATTGGAGGGTTAGAATTTCCCATATTCATAGGGAAGGGAATGGGGTTGCCGATTGGATGGCTTCTTTTGCCTACTCCTTTGATTGGTCTTTACAAGAGTTTGACTCGCCTCCTTCTGGTTGTCGTGACAAACTTGAAAGGGACTATGTAGGAGTAGTTTGGTCTAGGAGGTGTTCCTAGTTTCTTTTTTTGTTTTTATGTTTCCTGTTTGCTTTTCAAAAAAAAAGATTAGCTATGTTTGGCCTGTGATGGCGAT